ATCTGATTATCATCGGTGTAAAAAAGAAACGTTTTCAGTAACAAGACAATACGGAATACTTCAGACATAACAGATGATAAACCTGCCTCGCCATTTTTTTATCTAAAATTATATTAATCATTCTTTAAATGGTGTTTATTATACATAGTGAAAGACAATTAAATCAATGTCATTCTTGTTGTGTATTTGACAATATGAGACAAATGTAATAACAAATTCAATGGATAAGTAAAATCAGAATGTTCAAATTCATCGTGAATATCGTGATGTTGCAAGAAAAAAGTTGTTAAAGGAAAGGCTTTAGTTCATGTAGTTCAAGTGAGTTCACATAAATATCGGTGAATTGAAAAGAAATTGAAATATAGCTGATACATCAACCATCAGGTTATATCAATAGTATTGTGTAGAATAAAACAATTTATTTCACACCGCATAAAATATCACCAATGTACTTTCAACGTTTGCACCAAGTGATTTTCCAAATAGAAATTATTATTGGAACCAATCTAATCAATTTAGCTTCATTTTCATTTTCACAGTCCAAAAAGTTCGTATCATTACCCATTAAGTCTAGTTTTATTTTTAGAGTACCAAAACTTTATATGCAATCTGTTTCGTACTTCATCAGCCAAGTTGCATATAATGGGCATCTACAAACAGTTCTAATTATTTAAGTTAAGCTACTCCGGTTATAGCTTTATTCATTTCCAAATTTCAGTTTGTAAGATTCGTGACTTTATGTTCATATTTATATGCATGGCGACTTCTCTTTTATTTAAGTGATGAAGGAATGTCATCGACATACAAATAATATATAGTGAAAGTACGACATCAAAGGTCATCTTAAAATATAACATCGTCTAAAATATTATAAGGATGACAAGTACAATGTAGTTCCCTTTGTTTATTCCAATTGATGGAAATATTTTGAAGTGCTTAATTTCATCATTATAAAGACCATGAAGTACATTATAGTGTGTCTTATCTGATAATAAAGTATTCATTATCTGTTAAATGAATGAAACGAAAGGTTCCATGAGTACCGCCGTGTAAACATATCTAAGGAGGTTACTTCAATTTTTTTTAAACCATTGCATGCGGACTTTGGCAGTTGTTTCGGTTGTCAACTAATCATGGTCTTTAATACTCAGACTACAACCTTTACATTTGTGTTATGTTGTGATTTTAAAATTCAAAAGAAAAAAAACAACAATGCAACAACAGGAGCTGGGAACATTTTCCAATTATATTGTTACTGCTCTCTTGAGTTTCTATCCAATTAATTATATTTTTTCTCAAATTTATCAGAACTTAAAGATATGCGTGGGTGTTTTCAATCAGATTAAAGAAATTTCAATTGAGTGCGGGACACTTAAGAAATTGATTAAATATGGTCTTCATTGCGATTAAATATCAAGATGCTTTAATTTGCATGACTCTGCTGTTATAGAGTACACCTTACTTTGCCAGTTTGTTCTTGATCAGATATAATCAACGTTTAGCGTCGATTCTCCAAACAATATGTATTACTTCCTTGTTGATCTTCTTTATCATATTTTGTGAAAAAGAACTCAGTCAAAACTAAAACTCATGTTTTATGTTGCATTTTAATGAAAATGAGTTATCACGGACTAATATAAAAATGTACATGTATATGTTTAACTTGGACGTTATTAATCATAGGTCAATATCTATGTTCATGTCATTATATATTTTCATATCATTAAGTATTTGTTTCAGAAAAATGAATACAGATACTATCATTTTAAAAGGTTTTAGAATAGTGTAAGCTAAAAGAAAAAAACAACAACAACAACAACAACAAAACAACAACAAAAAACAAGAAAAATAATTAACAAAACTGGGCATAGCATGTTTAAAATGAGTATGAAGATTTGAAGTAAAAACCTCTAAACCGATTTTCAAACAAAGTTATAGATTGTTTTAATCAAGAATGGTTTGCTGATTTAAAACAAACTAGCTTTCGTAAGAGAAGTATCATAATTTGTTATCTTATGAATTTAAAAGTATATGTCGTACAAAATTTTGTATATATCCTCAAAAGTTAAGAATTGACCGAGACAGGTTGGCAAGACTGGAACGCCTCTGCCAATTATGTGATATCAACGAAATTGAAGTTTTCCCTTACGTGTGTATTATCTTGACATGATGTTCTTTCTTATGTAATATATAAATTTGTATGTTTACAACATAACATACTGATTCATAAAACACTAAATTATTTCATTATGATAATTTGTCTACTTTCTGTAGAATTTTGAATACTTGTTTGCTTATCGAGAGCATTGTGTATTTAATTTGATATAGTAGATATTGTTTTATATGTTTAATAATGACTGTATTATATTCTATTCTATTTGTTAGTTCCAAAAGCAGATTTTTTAATTTTTAATCAATGAGAATCAAAAATGGAAACCTTTAATGTCGCCCAACACGTCAAAATTGAAACACTGGAGAATTCCTTTGATCTAGTCTATTCAAGGCACCGCTTCTGTTAAGTATGAACATGGTTTCGTTTGCAATTGACAGTGCCGTTCATGAACAGGCTCTGCAGCAATTTCTATTTTGGCCGTTTTGGACTTTCTTTAGGGATTCATGTTTACTCTATTTTATCGTCACATCAACGTTGTTTGTGCCGTGTGGAGGCTGCAAAAAGTTAACCCGTACATTCAATCAGAGATGTTATATTTCCGATCCTTGAAGATCGTTTAGCAAATCATTATTTTTGTGTAAATGGTATTTTTAGCTTTAGCTATTTTTAGCTATTTGGCATTTTCTAGCTGGATGTTTCCAATATAATGTTGAATCACCATTAGGATATGTTGCCTGTTTTTTAACCTGTTGACATTTTATCTGTGATATGCAGCGGTAACTCTGCCCTTCAAATCCCATTGTTAGTTCCCCATGTTCTCGTTAAGGCACACCTTTCTATACTCTGACATACGCCGCATTTGTGATTGATGATGTCACAATTGAAGGTTCATGATAACGCCGTATTTAACATTGTGTTTAAATGTGGAAGTCCCAAAGTTTAAGAATGTATGTGTCCTAAACAAGAAAACAATTGGCGAACCTTAATAAAATGAAAACTTTTAAAAGGTTATGAAGTTCTATTTATGATCTTACCTTGTGATTTTCAAAGTGTTTTTACAATCAATTCACTTTATCGTTTTTAGAAACGCATTGCTTCTTTCATAAAATGAAGTTTATTCATTATACAGAGGGTTTTTAAGTTTATATTCTAACATATGTATATTTAACAGTTTATCTTAGTGCATCAGTCTGTTTGAAAAAACATCTCTCAGGCAATCTTATTAATCGATTTTTTTTTCAAGAGTTATTGTTGAAATGCGTTGTTTTAAATGTAGATTGAATGAAAAAATATTAATTTAATTCATATATGTTGATGAGACAGCGTTATATTTTAAAATTCAATATTTCTCAACTAATTACAATTTCTAGAACACTTTAGGTGCAAATGATGATGGAGTTTGAACATAAAGAAAAACATTTAATTGCACCATTGAAAAAAAAATAATAAAACGTTTTTATTATCATAATTTTGATTCATTTCAGATAAATGAATATTTGAACAGCTGTATATTAGATTATTTATTTTTCATTTCTTGAAAGGTCAGGTTTAAACACTTTCATTTCGTTTCATTCAGGAAAATTATCTAGTTTAAAATGTAATTCTGTATGTTAAGCTTAACAACTAGTTGCTAAGTAGGCGACTGGTTTATTGGTTCGAATTGCAATTCCGGAAATTTCACTCTTTAATGACCAATTTATCTAAATGTCAAAACGAACATTATTTTATTTCATTTTATGTCAAACACAATATCTACAGCACAGTAATATTTACAAACATACAACGTTAAAACGCAACAAACTAGTACTAGCAATATCAAAATGATTATACTTGTTAATACAGTTAATGTTCAAATAAGTTTCATTGACTCTTCATAAAATGCCATATAAATAAGAAATGATCTTCAAAACGAATAACTTTAATGACTTAAAATCACTTGCCCCGCACCTTTGTGGGTTCATATCCCACCAGGGATTTTAGATACTTTCATGTGAGGCAGCTATCCAGCACAACCCTTACGGGACATCGGTAATTTTACTATCTAATAATGCGAAAGGGCACCTGAGGTCCTCCTACTTCATCATCAGTATTAAGGCATGACTTCGACACGTTATAAAGCACGTTGCTTATTGTAATGTCGCAATTCACATGTTATCTATCTATATACATGTATTTTATTCATTATATTAGCATTATACTTTGTGGATATCCTCTTTAACACTTCTAAAGATTGATTGGATTTGATCAATCATTTGAATGTTCGAATGGATAAAATACATGTCTGTCCGGTTAAAACGTATGAGAGAAATTTAAAAAAAGGAAAAAAAGTCCAAACTGTCACAATTATACTAATGAGAAATAACAAGCTTTATTCCATATGATTTATGCAAATGATTAGACCATAATTCATTTTTAATTTCATTATTATAAGTGACTTAATGTACAATTTCGAAATGAGACGCTGCTTTCAATTGTTTTATAAGAGACCATTAGGATATTTTGTCGACATTGAGTTTAATCCTTGACAGTATATGGAATAGCTCGCACGGGTATATACTACCTGTTTCGATATGTATGCAATATGGTTTAGAACGATTTATATTTAATATTTTTATTATTTTAAATTAATATATATGGTATAACGATTGTAATAGTTTATATAATTATGTTAATGTAATTTGGAATATTTTGATAAATTATTATGTGCGAGCGTAATAATATTTGACGTAGAGGTAACATTCTATATTTACTTATTACTATTTTTTCTGTTTGTGTTTTTAAGGAAGATGTATGTGGAGTGTTTTATATATTCTGTTCTCCTTTTAAGTTAGTAAAATTATAAAAGAGTAAAAAAAGAAGCGAAATCAAGAAAGTAACTAAATCTTACCGTATCAATAATTTCCAACAAAATGAATGTTTTGGTTAACATTTGCACTAGCAAGTTAGACAAGTCTAATTGGTCACATCAGTCATCAATGGACGGGTATATTTTATCCTGCAAGAAAACATCAAATAATTTACATGTTGTCCATCAGTAAACTATCTACATATAAAGTCAGTCAAGTTTAGTGTCCCCTCGATCCTTTTCTATAAGAAATGGAGACACTTTTGTTTTCATTTCAAACACAAACTTTTTACTCTCGTACCTAATTACACTATTTTCCGTGATAATATTCGCTTGATATGTATGTATATGTATGCTGTCACCACAAGCAATTTCACTTAAAATGTTAGTAAATATGAAACTAGAGGACGCATTTGTCATTTACATTTATCCTGTTATGTAGTCATCATAACTTCGTACTTTATACTATTTTTTAACCTGTACATAGGTGTGTATCTCTGTCCTGCAATATATATTTTTTAATGTAGGTGCAGAAAGTTTAAAACTGTTTTACCACACATATAATTATTTGACACAAAATTGATGTATAAAAATGGAAAAGGAGTTATTCCTCGGAAACAACACTATTAAATGAAAATTGCAAACTCGTTTTTATTGAGTCTGTTTATGCGAGATAATGAAACCGAATTTAAGTTAGAAAGTTAACCCCTATCTCCCTCTGTTATTAATTTGTGAATACTTCATTCAGAGGTTCATACTCAGGCATGATAATGTTAGATCTACAAAAAGCATTTGATACTGTTGACCATGATATTTTATGTGGAAAACTGAAATTGATGGGCATCTCTAATACTGACTGGTTTATGTCTTATCTTAAAGGTAGAAAAGAAACTGTTAGTGTTGATAATATTTTATCAGATTATATGCCTGTTACATGTAGTGTTCCCCAGGGTAGCATCCTGGGTCCTCTTTTATTGTTGTGCTATGTAAATGACATGAGAATTAGTATAGATCAAGAATGTAAGCTTATTCTGTATGCTGATGACAGAGCAATTTTTTTGCTCACAAAAATCCAAGTATTATTTCTCAAAAACTTGGACAAACACTTGTTCTTGTTCATCTTTGCTTGTAGATAACAAATTGTCACTTCATCTAGGAAAGACTGAATGCCTTACTTTTGGCTCAAAATGTAAACTGAAAAAAGTTAAAGAGTTTAAAATTGTTTGTAATGGACATACTATTGAAACCACAAAATCTGTCAAATATCTAGGTTTAAATACTGATGATTCTTTGTCAGGTGAATCTATTGTTAATAGTATTCTCACAAAGGTGAATTCACGTCTTAAGTTTTTGTGTAGGCAACCAAATGTTTTAGATTTTAGGACTAGAAAATATTTATGCTCATCATTAATACAGTGTCACTTCGATTATGCATGTTCTTCTTGGTACCCGAGTCTGAACAAGTATTTTGAATGTAAGCTTCAAATTTGTCAAAATAAAATTGTTAGATTTATACAAGGTGTGGGACCTAGAGATAGTGTCAATAATGTTATTCTTGCTATTATGTCTTTATTAAATGTAGAAAACAGAAATAAGCAATTACGTCTTAATCATGTTTTTAAAATTGTTAATAACCAGTGCCCTTCATATATGAAAGAAAATTTGTACCTGTTAGAGACATTCATTCTTATTCAACTTGGGCGAATCAGTACAATTTTAGGGTCCCAAGAAATTATGGGAAAGATAATGTAACTTTTTTCAAAAAGCAATTAATGATTGGAATTCCTTGACTACACGCATTAAATTAATAAGATAGGAGATGATTTCAAAATCTCACTGAAGGTCCATTTACTAGAACAGTTAGGAAATCATAATTAAATTCACTAGTATGACTAGTGTTTGATCTTCATGTTTATTGTTTTCCTTCAGCAAAGTTAAAGGAAATATTAAAGTTTAATATTTTATTTATATGACATCTTCCAGTATCGAAAGTTTTGTTTTTTCAAGTTTTTTGTTGTTATATTGAATATTCTAGTAAGTATATATCCAAGGACCCCATTGGAAATAAGCCTTCGGGCTTTCATGGGCAATCTGAGGTTATTGCACACTACTCTATACATGCTTCCACTTACCTCGTCACATTATATTTAACTGGTAAATTGTTATCTACTCATAGGAAAGAAAGATTTTTAGGTTTTGTTCTTTATTATTATATTTTATCATTTAATGAGCCTCCTGTGATATTTATGTTTGACAAACTTCAGAAATATTTTATTACAATTGTATCATCAGTTTTATATAAAATGCATAAGTGTTTGTATTATGTATATGTGTGTTTTAACCTGACTAAATATATATCTAATAAATATCTACTGCATTAGAGAAATCTTAAGATTTATTACCATAAGTAAATTTATATCACCATTGATGTATCACTTGAGTATTCTTCATTTCATCTATTTTCTAGAATTGACAGCAGTTACTGCAAGATATACATGGTCAGCATGCATTGTTTGAACATTCCTATATATCAGTTTATCGAAACTCGCTTCATCTTAAAGACATAATAAAATAATACCTGGTTTATTAAACGGTTACATAGTACAACATTTCCAATGTTAATAGATTCAGGGTGCCATGTCATACAGTTGGGGTCTGTATGTTCTCTATAATACTCGGAATAAATTCAAATTTTGAGTTTGTTTCGTATTATAAAGCACGTTTCTAGTTCTAGTGCGCAGAAAATAATACATAAAAAAACTCGATTGAAAAGTGTCATGATCTTCAAAAAATAACACTACACAAGAAATGTAATCAACTTACTTACATAAGAAAATTTGACGTTAAATATAAATACGTAAACGAAACATAAGGCAATTATTTGAAAACTCTTTATTTTTACTCATTATAATGAAGGTAATTAATTAAAAAGAATAAACCTGATACAGTTAAATATTCTTTCTGACCAGACCATTGTCCGATCACAATATATGATCAGATTTATCGATCATCAAAATTTCATTGATAGACTGACAGCGTAATCATTGACAAATAGTTTATTACCAATTTGTTTGAAGTTAATCTACGAGTGATTTTGCAATTGAGATAAAAAAAAAAATAAGATATTTCATTCAGTATATGCACCGATTTAAGGACATTCATTTTAAAATGCAAACACGCGAACCTTGATTTTCTTTTTTAAAAAACTCCTCTATTTTCAGCCTGTAATGAATTGTATCGAATGAAACCTAATATGTTGTTCTGTTATTTATAAAACAACTATTTCTAATATGTGAAATGCTGTATGTTTTTCATTTTTGTTACATTTTAGTTATGTTCGTAGAAATAATACTGCCACCATGTTTAATGACCAGTGACGTTTTGTTTAAGATTTAATGTTGTCGTTCAGGGTAACCTTGACACGTTAGTACAGTAAGGTAACCAACATTTTACTAACCAAAATTAAAAACAGCAGGTAAGATAATTTACATATATTATACTACTTTATATGAATCAGTTCATGGGGCTTAGCTACTAGTAAATTGTAGACGATTATATTTTTCAGTTTTGTTAAACAACTGGCCGATATTCGAATGTCATGCGAAATTCAAAGACAATATGTAACAATAATACGACCTTCTATACTAACTCGTGTCATTGGACACTTCTAACATGTTTTTTAAATCGAACAGCCAACCTTTTTTTAATTAACTAATTAGATCATGTGGATTTTTGACATTCTCAAGAACTTTTCCACTGACATTTGTCCTTAATCTACAAAATATAAAACCATCTCAGTTGGACTGAAATTAATGAAAATAATATCATCATGCTTTTAAATACAATTTTACGTTTAAACGTATCAATTTTCGCTCTTAAACCACCTTGATTTATTTCGTGCTGTTTGTGGTTGTTTTACTACAAATCGACGATATTTAAATAGATGTTTTTCTATTGAAATAAGGTCAAATTCATTCATGGCGTATATTGTACGAGTGTATATTTATCAAATACTAGAATGATATGTTAATAACCACTGTTCGTTTTTTTTTTAATTTTAGTGCACATACCCACTTCGTATTTTGCCAAAGTTAATGGAAGAAATAAGAATGATGTAACACTAAGTTTGCAATGGTCACATATATTCGTATATATTACAGAAAAATGAAAAAAAGATGTAAATATTGAGTGTATGATGGTAACGGATACACGGAATTAAAGTATAAATATGAGCTAAATCAAGGTACTAGTTAAAGTATTTCCCAGAAAAAACAGAAATCGTTGATTTGAGCGTTACTAGTCACGATTTAGTCACCTTATGTCAATACAATACTGGTTAGTTCCAATAAGCTCCCGATCTAACAATTTCTTATATTAAATATGATTTGCTAAAATTTGATTTTTGAAAATAATGAAAAATGCTATACAGACTCTTTTTAAATGTAAAATAAATATATTTGAGTACACACAGAGAAGGCATGTTTCGTTTATAATACTCTACACATTGTAGGTAAACACATAGTGTTTTATTTAAAGAAAAGGCGAATTTAACTTGATCTGTAAAAGAGAATATAGCTTCACAAACATAGCTTGTACATTCTCTTATCCAAATTAGACATATTCAGTAAATAGAGCTGCAATAAAAAAATTTTACCTAAAGATGGACATAGTGTTTCTTTAAACTTAATAAAAGTAAAAGATTCTACCAACCTTTTTTATTACATACTGTATAATAAATCCTTAAAGGTCATTTTTTAAAATTTTCATCAAGACAACTTCCCGTTGAACAATGCAGTTCCGAAGAATGTATCACGTGATATCCTATAACAACAATTATTCCATGAAAGCTTTCAAATTGTGATATATAACAGTATACAATGAATTGTACACACGTAAGCACATAGATATAGTGAAATACTGTAAAATTGCTAACTGTTAATGAATATATCTTCTTTTTCTCTTCTTTTTTTTTTTAAAAAAAAAGCTTTAATTACACCGCTGTATGCGTCTTCGTTATAATAATTCAAACTATCATTAAGTCGTTGATATTTATACTATCATTTTCTACTAACATCAGTATTATCATTATGAGGAGATATAAAAGTAGTTATTGTATCTGATATGTCTTCAGATCATTCATTGTTCAACAATACGATACCACGGTATGCTTTTAGAAATATTAATAATGTATAATAGATCGATCACCAATCGTATCATTGATTCGGTGACAGCGTGTTACCATTAAATCATAGTTTATTACCTATGTGTTAAAAAGTTAATTGTATCATTGATAATCAATAACGATATTTCTTTCAGTAAGAACTCAATTATTAACACGAACTGTTTCGAGTTAAC